TATATATATATATTATATATATATATAATATATATATATATATTTAATTTATTAAAAAGTAGTTTAAGTGTTTTGAATACACTTTTGTAGGTATGACTTTATCTCATGAAGTTTGATAAAATAAACTAATTATTTTGAATAACGCTTGTTACTAAAAAATAATAAATAGAAAATCAAGGCCGAAGTAAAGAAAAAAAGAATTAAATAAAAAAATATGTGTTTGAAAAAAAAATCTTTAAGAAACAATTTTTCTTTGAAATGTGATTTCAAAAAAAGACTTGTTAGATATTTGTTTCTGTTTTTACTGTTTAATGAACTTAAACATGATGAGGCCTATTAAAAGGGAAAAAATTTACTTTTTCTCTTATTTTCTATTCATTTATTTTGGGTGTAATAAAAACTAAGCTTCTTTGTTTGTATTTGTTTATCTGCTTATGTGTAAAAAATATAAAATGCCTTGAAACTAAAATTATACAAAAGTGTAAAATACCTCGTCTCATACTAAAACTATACACTTTTCTACGTTAGTCTTAGAATCTTGATTTTGAAAATCTGTAACTGTTGAGGTTATATGATACTTAAGCCGAGAAATTAAACACTGTTCTCAGATTGCAAATTATTTCTACATTTATTTATTAATTTAAACTCCCATGTGTACTTTGTAGGTAAAGGTGGTTCTAGTGGCATGGCTGAGTCAGTGCGACAAACATTAAGTGATCTAGTTCGTCTAAATCCTTGTAAAGATGCCGAATCTCTACTTGGAACAGAGCTACATCTATTACTGGATGGGATGGGATTCAGATTGCCACAAGTTTCAGGTAAACTCCCTATTTAAATTCTTATTTTCTCCCGTGTATCAGTCCCCATTTTCTCTCGTCAAAAAGAAAAACTTATTACTGGAAGAAAATAGTCTTTCAATAGTAGTATAATCATCGCGTACTCTTGTTATGAGAAAAATTTATCAAATTAATATTACCATAAATAAAATGGATAAACATAAGGACTTTATTGTTTCTACCAATATATGGGAAACTGTCCCGCTTTGGGAAATGTCCCCGAAATAAGCCTATGGGAAAATGTCCCGCTTTGAGATCGATTTTCGGACAAATTGCTCGATCGAATTTTAAAACACTTTTCCCCCTTTGGTTTGATTGCTTTTTAGTATAGAATTAAAAATTGGTTTCCGAAATTTAACAAATATTTAGGACTGGAACAATTGTAAAAATAGTTATAATAAATATAAATGTATTATTTTTAGCTTTTATCAGAAAATTTTCTATCCCATTTGTATTACAGTTTTCTGATCATTATCCCAAAAAGCTATTTTATGTTTTACAAATCATGCACAGAAAAATTAAAAGAAAAAGAACATAATGACGAATATTTAGCAGTCAAATATTTATGAAAATAGTTATATAATTATTGTACAATAAAAATGTAGTACTGTCAAACCTCGATATCTCGAACTTGAAGGGAGAGGAGGAAAAATTCGAAATACAGAAAATTCGAACTATCGAAAATCGCATGTTATCAATGGTAGAATAAAGGAAAATGCTCTTTACATACCTTACTTACTATTCCATATTTATTCTAAAAGCACTTTTTACACTTAAACAGATTCAATTGTTGTTTGCCTTAGAGATGTGTAAGAAAGTTAATCTATAACACTTTCTAAGTGGACTATAGCTTTAAATTTCTCCTCTGAATTCATCTGCCTCTCAATAAATCTCCTTACATTGTCCACTGCAGAAAGTGTTTGTTTGAGAATTGATTATGAGAATCGGCTTTCTATTCTTAATTTTTTTTTTCTTTTTTGGAATTTTTTTTTTATTTTCAGAAAAAAAAATCTACACTATTTATGGAAAAAAATTCAAGTTATCGAATGATTAGGAAAAAAAAATCGTGAAATCAAGGTTTTTTTAACATTGAGTGTATAGGAAATTTAAAGGGAATATTTTTACGTCGAAATATCGAAAAATTCGTGAAATCGAGGGTCAAGTTAGCGAGGTTCGACTGTATTTTATTTAAATTATTTACTATCCCATCACATTGATAGTTTTGTAATTATTATAAAAGAAGAAAGATATTTTAGGTTTTACAAATCATATAGAGATTTAACTTATAATTTCAGGTACAATGTCATATTCAACTGAAAACAGTGATCATCTTGACTATTCCGATGACGATGGAGACAATACAAACGATACTACCGAAGATCACCCTCACACCTCATCCTCCATGACACCCACCAAAGACCAATCATTAGACATTCACAAATCCAAAAACCCTTTTAGCATTGCAAACATCCTAGCTTCCGACAGCAATCGAAAAAGGGTCCATTCCCAATACATGCATCCCTATCCAGTCATGCTCCAACAACCAGCCGGATTCCTGGTTGCACAGAGAAGTGAAAATCTATCCCCCATGGGCCGAAGAACCAGCCTGACAGATAGTTATGTTAGTAGCTGTGGATCTTCCCCCATCAGCACAGATCGAGATGATTACGAAATGCCATCTCCATCTTCCTCTGCTACAAATCATCCGTTGCTGAATCCTGGATAAAAGAGATTAAGATTTTATTTTGATGGTTTTGGCTTGTCATTTACTCCGAATTCAACATTTGTCTGGTCATTCGTAAATCGTCATTCTTTGGACTTAAAAGTGAATGAATGCGTAATTGAATAAAGAAAAAAAAAGGTGAGGGATTTGTTCAGACCTAAATCTTTTCCTCTTGGTCTGTGCTTGCTTGAGGTGATTATCTCTGATTATTGAAAGTAATAATCGAGTTGCAAAATAAAAATTTGCTTTTAAATTATTAATCATAATATGAAATCTTGAATGCGGTTGTATAAAAAAATTTACCTTTGATTTGAAACTTTACTTTTTAAATTATACGAAGATACTTGATGGGTTTTAAAATGTTGGATACCAATAGATTTTGAAGCTATATTAAAAAAAATCATCTCACGAAATGTTAAAGGCCCTTTTCCCATCTTGGATTTTAAGTTAAACAACGGCATGATTTCTTGCACATATTGTTAAAAGCCCTTTTTTTCACCATCTTGTATTACAGGTTAGATTATTGATTTCTTTCATGGGCTTTAAGAGCTTTTTTCTCTTCTTGCTACGCGATGTTTTTGCTCGTTACAAACTTTTAATGGCAGTGAATCATTCGTTAGCTCAAAAACGTGCATTAATAAATTTTGACATTTACATCTCAATTGTAAAATAACAGGTATTGAGTAACAAGTATTAAGATATTCGTTCTTCAAAGATAATCATCAAAAGCAACAGTTTTAATCATGTAATGTTTGGAACCTTTTTTTGCAGTCATGAGAAATTCCATCATGAATGTAAACGTGTCATGAATAAATATTGTATGTCGTAAAGACGAGTGTATATATGTGTCTGTATAGAAATTTTCATGTATAAAGTATTTCATTTTAATTGGCTTTGTTGTGCTGTCTTTCATGTCTCGCCCTTCTTTACACAATACACAAAGATAAACCAACTGAAAGTTTGTAAAAAAAATTTTAACACACATGAAATGAAACTTGATCACATTTATGTACGAAATATTTATTTTACAATTTTTTTTTTTTAATGTTTCTAATTCGATTCGTAAGCCGATTGTGAGGCTTTTGTTTCCAAAATGAGATCATTTTACTTTTTTCAAAATTAACTCATTTCAAAGTTTCAGAAATATATTTGTCTATTTCTAACCTATTTGAATTCTGAAATTTCTTTCTCAATTATTTTTTTATGCTTTATTTACTTTTATCGGTACAAAGTGGTTTTTAATTAATTAAAAACCATATATCAGCAATCAAAAACCATGCCTAATTATAATTAATTAATTATAATTTGGGGAAAAAATTAAATATAAATTCAAAAAAAAAGTTCAATTGCTAAAAGTTAAGTAATGTTAATTTAATCTAAATAATGCTAAGTAATGTAATATTAAGAGTTGAGTAATTTTGTGAACAAGTTAACTTTTGAAATTAAAAAAAAAATATTTGTGGAAATACAACTATGATTAGAACCTACTCTTTTTTTCCTGCCAAAATGATCCATTAAAAAAGGGGGAAAAATAAATTGTTTCAAGACAAATTCGATTTACTCAAATAATTATCAGTATCTCTGTTTTAAAAATGAAAGAAATCACGCATTCTTTTTTTTTTAAATTAAAATTGCAGAATCATTTCATGGGAAGCCACTGATAAATTTTCTTTACCATATAATGGGAATTTTTTGGTACTGATTAAGTTTTAGAGTAATATAAGCTGTCCACAAACTTTCTGTTGTCATACGTTTCTGAACTTTATGGCAAACTGGAAGTGAATCATAACATTTAAAGTTTACGAACGCATAGTTATACGTTTACTCATTTAAAAGAACGATACATCAAAAAGATCAGAAAATAGCTTCTTTTTTTATTACTATTTGAACGAGGAGAATATACCACACTATTGGTAACCAGTATTTACCCTTTAAAATGAATGTAAATCAGGATGAACTTAATTTTAATCTTAAATTTTGACACATTAATTGAGATTTTATGTTTTGTTTTGTAAAATGTAGTTTTAGTGCTTTAAATGTGTCAAAAGAGAATTTTGAGTTACATTAATTTACATTCCCAATTTTCCCCCCGTGCTTTTCTGTTTTGAAACTGTCTTATATTATTTTTATACAGTTATTCAATACAATTCATGCTTTTATACAAAGTCACTTAGTGAGATTTTCTTACGCTCATGGTTATCCCAAATTATTAGCTAAATATATTTTGAAAGATATTGAATTTTGATTGTCCACATTATATCTGAAAACGAAAACAAAATCATTCTGATTTGCATAATTTTGGAAGCATCACATTTTGATTGGATTATTTTTCCAATATTGCTAGATCAATTAAGAATTGAACTAAACAAGAATTTTTTGAAACAATAATTTTTTTTCTTCTAAATTTAAAATATTTTGTATTGTTATTATTTCAAATGCAGAAAGTTTCTCATAGGAAAAATATAAATAATTTAAATTTAAAAGTTCTCATCTTCTTTCAATACTGGCACTTATACTATAACTAAGTGTTACTTTTTATACATGAAATTAATTACGTGTTTTTTTTCCTAAGGGAACATTTTCTATTATATTACTATTTTATATCTTACATTATCCTTATTATCATACCACATTACGTATGATTTGATGCTATTTTCTTCAAAGAAACATTATTTCTTGTAAAGAAAGCATTGAAGTTTTTTTTTAAATCATTGCACTTTGATGTTTAGTTATTTTTAATTATATTTTTGAGAAAATACCTTAAAATTTAAGATTTAACATCCCAAAATATTAAATGATTTTCACTTCCTTAATCTTTTAGGTTTTCGTTTATTACTTAAAAACTTTGCTTGAGAGGGAAATTTTAAAAATTAAATTTATTTTCATAACTTTAAATTTCATAATTTTATGTGCTAATTCTATTTTTATACAGTAAATAGCTTACTGATATAATAAGATTTATAACAAAGCTATTGTGAATGAGTTGCTGTTACTTTCAAACATATACATTTAATGGATATCATTTTCTGATTATTATTTCTATAAATAATTATTGTTTTTAAAAATTAAATACGCAATATGAACAATCCTAGAAAACTCAGAAAATTTTGAACCTTATTGTTGATACGTTGAACCATACTATTGTAAAAATTAACTGGTTTTAAATTGAACATTATTTCTACTTCAGATGGGCAATAGTATCTAATTCTATGGTTATAGAGTTGGAAACTTATTAATAGTGCAGAAAATTTGAACGATTTTGTGATTCATCATGCTTTGTTATCTGTCAGTGTTAGTGGTAATATAAACGTCAGACTCTTGAACATTTGGATGAATCTTTTTAACATTCCGGTTCAAATTGCGGTATTAAATACCGACACTTAGAGTGCATCATCCATAAAATATATTTAGCTTTAAAATATTATACCCGAATTTTACAGTTATACTTATTTAATTAAGCTGATTCAATAATTTAACTGTAATTATTACGGTACAAATTACGATGTATCAGATTTTTACTGTTCTGTAACATTTTCTGGTAAAAAAGGATTTTGAGGCAAAAAGTACCGGAATTTGATCCGGAATTTTTTACTGTGTTTAAAGCTCCGACATAGATCCAAATATTAAACTCTTTCTAGGTAAAAAGTATTTTTTATAGCAATAATATGAACCATATTTTTGTGAAAATATTTTATCATGATATTTTTATTTAAAAAATTTAGTCTATGGCTCTTTAGAAAAAGCTTTGAGAAGAAAATATTATTAACGTGCTAGAAACTTTTCTGATTAATTAAAGGAAAGATAATTAATAGAATTTCAGTTGAAATGCTAAAATAAAATTTTTCCATGTCACAAACACTTATTTTTAATACTAATAAAGGGTGTCCCAAATTGTGTATACTAATTTTAAACGATACAAATAATAATTTAACGCAACTATTTTTTAAAAAAATTGAAAGTTAATTTAATTTAAAAAAACTCATAAATTTTCTAGAAGAGTATTTTTAAACATTTTACAGGTGGGCTCTAAGTTATTGGTGCTGCTACTGAACCCAAACTGTAGAGTTTTGGCTCACCTTTCCTTATTATTTTGTTTAACACTAGGTTGACTGAAAGAAGTTTCCTTTTGACTGCTTTTTCATTTGCAGAAAATGTACAAATAATAATGCATAAATTAATATTTTCTTTCCAAATGAAGCAAATTTTTTATTGTTAATATTTACTAATAACTTGTCATATAACTGTGAATGATATAAAAAATATTGAAAATTAAATAAACAAATTTCTTTACACATTAGTTATTTTTTCAAAATGCAGTCATTTTGACTGCTTTTGCGCAATATAGGTATATACTAAGTTTCAGTCTTTCTAGTGTTTAGATAAAAAAAAATAAAGAATGTATGAATGAGGAAGAAAGAATCAAGAAATGATACAAACAATTAAGTTATAGAAAAATAAAATTTAGAAATGATATCCGAGATAATATTTACTTTTTATAATGACTTTTTGATAAGGAAGATAGTCATGAATTTAATGAACATGTGATAACATATCATTTCTCTTTCTTGAAGAAAGGGAAAATTCTTTTCACTTCTGAACGTCACGACATAGCACGCTTACCCCCGGATATTATTACCTCCAAAAATCGAAATAAAAAATGAACTTAATTATTCGATAATAAGAGATAATTGGAATTGCGTCAAAGTCCATCTATTTATATAAATTTGACAACCTTATCTCATTCTCTTAAGTTTCAACAGTGCTTAGGGGTTGACGGGCAATTATGTTCAATCCCCAACCTCTCTACCCCCAGCACTACGAATGAAATCGATATTCGAGAACAGATGCTTATCCCCAGGCAAATTTGAGAAGAAAAAAAAGTTGCTACAGTGTTTATCGATAAACAGTGTTGCCGATGACGGGAAATCAAATAATAGGGTAATAGATAAAACGAAAATTGTAATTTTTCCGCTCTTTCATGATGCCGGAAGAAGTTAGAAATGATTATTATTTTTTTAAAAAAAAGACTAATGGGATTTGTCGTTTACGTCGCACAAACAGCACGTGCTACTGATGCCAAAAATTACTACGGCCATGAAAACTTTGGGATGAACCAAAGGAAATCAGAACAAAATTAAAAACAGATTACAAGCATTTAAGATATTGGAAAAGCATGCTCTGCTTTTATTTCCGTCACATAAATCGGTGGAAAATCGTTTATTTTTATTGTTATTTAGTAGCAATCATGGAGTCATTAAAACACTTTTTATGATTCGAACAATTAAACTTGCATTGCATTGGAGTGTCGTTTAAGCACGGTATATTTATGTTTTAACGATTGTTTTAATGATATACAAAAATCAGTTTATTAAGAACTTTTTTTTCATTTTGTTGATGGACTAAATTAAATTTCATTCATGTAAAATTTATATGAATTTTTCCTCACATTTTTTTTAATGAAATATAGATGAGCAAGTTTAATAAATACGAATATCAATGGCTTACAAATACCTTTATTAAGGCACACACGATTCAACATGTAAGAGTATTAAAAAGGTTTAGAGCGGTAAAACATCTTTAGAAATACACCTCTTATTAAAAAAAATTCCCCTTTTGTGTTTTAAAATTTCGTTCTATCTTTCATACAAAATGCAGAGAAATAAACGTTTAATAAAAAGGGAGAACTTCATCTTAATCTTGTAACCTTCAAAAAGTCTGTTCTAATTCATTTTTTAAAGTATATTTTCATTAAGAAATTAAGACTAAAACTAATGAAGCACACCAAAAGGCAAAATGTAACAACACTTATAAAAAATATGCTTTATTTTGTATGTGTTTGATTTTATATCTTAAAAGACTATCTGTACAAAAGCGCCCTTTTAAAAAT